GCCTTCTGCTGCAACCAGCTAATCAAACCAGGCCAAATCATGTCCCATGCAATTTTCTGGGCAGCCTTCAGAGAGCCACCCAGTCTGAGAAGCCAACCAATTATGCCTGATCACTCTCTGTAGCCCTGTCCTTACAAAAGACGAGTCCAAACTGGCCCAATGTAGACAAATGAGCAGTTCTATTATCTCTGAAAGGCAATCTAATTCCCTTCAAATTTAAAAGTCTCCACAGTTTCCTAACAGGCCTCAGTGGGGCTCATGCAGAAATTAATAAGTTCACAGTATGCCCAGCTTGCTTTCATTATCATTTTTTGCCAGGCAGTGGACAGAATTTTCATTATTACTCTAGGATTTTTCTGTATCTGATTCTCTTAGAAGGTCACGTCCACCGGGCTCAAACACTGGGTTGAGAATTGAGTCAGGTCTAATGGACCTGACTGAGATCTGAGGGAAGTTTCACTGACTGTGTTGGAGCTTCCACTAATTAGGTGGGGCAGGAATCAAAAGCAGTATCATAGGAAAAGGGAACTCAGAGCAAGTGATGAGAAGCCCTGAGCTCCAATCCCAGACCTATGCTGGCCTGCTCTGGGAATCTGGCTTGGCCTCTCTGTGAGTTAGGGGTCTCTTCCATGAAATAGGTAGAGAGAAGGTTCTGGAAAGAAAACTCAAATTTATTAAACTTCTACTGTATCTTGAATCATTGCAACATGCAGCATAGACATTCTTTAAATTTAATCAAAACAACCACCCTGGGAAGCTTATATAACTTTACAGATGAAGATAGTGAGGCTCCTGTAATTGGTCACTAAATCACACCATTAGAATAAGCCAAACAGTGGCCAGAGAACAAGGGACTCATGTGGTGTGAATGCAACTGCAAGCTCATCTGCTACTTTTCTGGAACGCAATTTAACATGTTTCAGGAATTTTAAAATGTTTGGCCAAATGATTCTAATTCTGGAAATCCATCCAAATTACAGAATTATAAATGTAAAATGCATTATAATGAAAAAAAAAAAAGCCGAAGTAGATAAATTGTTTATCACCTCCTACCTATTAGAAAAGTTATCAAAAAGACAAGAGATAAGTATTGACAAGGATGTGGAGAAAAGGGAACCCTTGTGCACCATTAATGAGAATGTAAACTGGCATAGCCACTGCAGAAAACAGTACAGAGGTTCCTAAAATATTTAAAAATAGAACCGCCATATGATCCAACAATCCAACTTCTGGATATACAGTCAAAAGAAATACAATCAGGATCTCAAAGAGATATCTATACTCTCATGTTCACTGCAGCATAATTCACAATAGACAAGATATGGAAACAACCTACATGTCTGCCAATGGATGAAAAGATAAAGATGTGATATATACGTAATGGAATATTATTCACCCATGAGAAAGAAGAAAATCCTACCACTTGCTACAGTGTGGGTGGACCTTGAGGGTATTATTTTTGTTCAGTGAAATAAACTAGACAGAGAAAGAAAGTCTGCATGATATCACTTATGTCGGGTATATATATGGAATCACTTATATCACATATATATGATATCACTTATATGTGGATTCACTTATAAATGGAATCAGCTTTGAAAAGCCAAACTCACAGAAACAGAGATTAGAATGGTGGTTACTAGGGGCTGGGATAGGTAAGGGAACTAGAGAGATATTGGTCAAAGGGTAGAAATTTCCAATTATAAGATGAAATAAGTTCTGGGAACCTAATATACAGCATGGTGATTATAGTTAACAGTACTGAATTATATATTTGGAAGTTGCTAAGAAAGTAGATCTTAAATGTTCTCACTGAACACACATACAAAATGGTAATTATGTGAAGTGATGATGTTATTAGCTAAGGCTATGGCTATAATCATTTCAAAATATATAAGTATATCAAATTAACACATTGTACACCTTAAACTTACACAATGTTATATGTCAATTATACCTCAATAAAGCTAGAAAAAAAATGAGAATTGTAAACTATAGAATATTCTTTGAGTAGGAAATCAGCCATTTAAGAAGTTGCAAAACAATATTTAGTAAAATGGTGTATTTTCATTAGATTAGTGGGAAAAATAAGTTATAGTATTGAAGATGAGGTGTGATCACCATTTTTGCAAAAAAAAATGTTGAAAAATGAGTGGAAGGAAATACATTAAAATATTAACAGAGGCTCTCGGGGTAAGAAAACATTTTTTCATACTTTTTGCTATATTTTTCACATTTTCTACAATAATTATTGTCATAAACAGGAGATATACAATAAAAACTATATTCCTGAATTTTGTATTTATATGCAAAATGTAATCATGATTTTTATTTAAATAAATGACACTTTATGTAGGAAATTTTTCTTAAAAACAATTTTTAAAGGGGGTGAGAGTATTATAAGAAAAAGAAGACAGAAAAAAAATGATATGGATGGAACTATCTCCCAAAGAGCTTATAGCTCACCTCAAAGGCTAAATTGGAAATAAAGACCACTGGGAAAGGGGTGCAAACACTGAAACACAATACAAGAGCAGTTGATAAGGGGGACTAAAGGCTGCAGTTGACTTCAAGAAGTGATGGAGCTGGCAGATATGAATTTTTCAATTTTATGAGAATGATAGGGATCTGAAATAAATCTGTATTTTCTTTTTAAGATAAATGTTTTAAAATAAATGTCTGCAGCATGGATGGATGGCTAGTGCCCGTGTCCTGTCTTAGAGCTGATCATAAATAACACTGAGAAAAATAGCTTTGACCATTCTAAAAAGCATCTTTATTTTTTACTCTCAAGACTTTGGAAGATTATATTTTGATGCATTAAGCTAAATTTGTTTAAATTTGCAACTATCAGGGGGAGAACAGAAATTGTCTTCAGATGGAGCTATCTACTCAGGGATGACTTAGACGTGAACCTTCATTTCAAGATGTGCCTGAAAACCCCTGGGCACACCCAATTGTTAGAATACAAATTCAAGTTTAAAGGCATTTGATAGATTTATGATTTAAGGAAATCTTTTGGTAAATCTTCAAGGAAATTATTAATTGTCCTTTAGCCCTACAACCAAAGAAGGTAAGTAATCTTTTGTAAATCCAAACTTTCGAATATAAGATTTGCTTGAAAAATTTCTTTTCCCGTTCCCCTCCCCCAATTTTGGTCTGTACATTAGAGAGCTTATAACCTGACTATAGAACAGCTTATTCAACAATTTCAGTTTCCTAGTTCACTAATGGATGAAATAGGGCTACACTGAGGACATACATAATGAATAATCAGACACATTCCTCATCTTTTAAAGTATTATCCTTAAAGAGATCATTTACTTCCTGTTTAATATGTCATTGATTTTTTTCTGTTATGTTTTAAAGAGGAGTCATACACTTGAATGGGAAGACGAATGAAAGGATCCGCTAGGTGGAAGGACATAGGCTTTGAGAGAAGAGGCCAAGGGAAGCCGGCAGCACATGGCACAGTCTAAAGAGGGAAGACATAACTCAGCTCTGTATTTCTGACCTGATTCATCAAGATAAACCAGAATCCTTCCTTTTTTATGCAAATCTCCCAATTTCTAAATGTTCATCTCTATTTTTTTAAGTACAAAATGTTCATCTCTATTTTTTTTAAGTACATAATGTATGCCAAACCAAACATTTCCACAACCCTAATGTTTTTGCTAGTGTTTGTCTTAAAAATCTCATTTTGGGGGACTGCTAAGAAATGCTGAGTAACCCCAGTGCTGTTTAATTATGTCCAAGAAAGAGATGAGTTGGAATATTCCCAGGCTGAAAAAGGCTTAGGGAAGACACCTCATCTTTTTTGTAAAACGCAGCATGAATTTATACTTCCAAGTGGAATCTGGTTGAGCTGGGACCTCTGAGGATAAGTGGAAGATGTATGGAAATGTCCCAACTCTAAGCACCATGGAAGTCACAGGCAGGTAGATGCCCTTGGTTATCATCCTGCATACAATCAAGATAAAGCCTTCTGAGAGTCAAGAGCATCTCCCTCACGTTCTACAAGAGTCCTTGTGGGTTTATCTTCACGTAACGCTGAATTTGCCTCCATTTAGCCTCCTCTCTCGCTCTTTACTTCATAATATTCTATAATGAAAAAAGGACCTTCACAAAGCTTATCTCTTTGAAGTGCAAGAAAGCTATTTTTTTCTGCCCAAGTAGCTCATAACATAGAAGACAAACTGTCAGAAAAAAGAGACTTCATCATGGTGAAAACCTCAGCCTGGCACCCATCTATCATAAAGCAATCTTCTAGAAATCTTGAGAACCTTCATTAAATTTCCTGTCTTTTTCCTGACAGTTATAAAATGTTAACAATATTACTCATGATGCAGGCATCTTCAGAAATTGTTCAATCCCTCCATCCCCTGCCTTCACCCATACCTTTCTCTTTGCCATATTCTTCACTGCCCCTCCCTAGTGACCTGGCCTATGCAGGAAGTTAGAGGAAGAAGTACATACAGTCTTGAAAACAATGAGGAGGCTCTCTGGCCACGAGCTACAGAGAGCAAAATGGCACTGCCTTTGAGTTTCTCCTCCAAAAGCCACACCCACTTTGAAGCTCAAGGGCACAGCTCTGTCCACCTACCAACAAATATTTCCTGGTCTTTTGAAATTCCCTTTTCTCTTGACAAAGCTGCAAGTCTGTACCTGTCCATGATATGTAGGTAGTAGTGAAAGTGGGTCACACATTTACTTGTGTCTATGGGTCATCTTTCTAGAGAGAAAGCTCCCTACAGAACTTACTAGCACAACATTTTAAACTCCAGGGGCTAATTCGACAATATACCATCTCTCAGAAGAAGAAATAAACATCTTGTGCCAGAGGTGACACCAAGGAGAAAAACCATAAGGAGATACAGAATCCACACCAGAAATCAGAAGAGGCATACAGCTTTGAAATCACAGGCTGACCTATGAGATGCACAGCATGGTGACAACAGCTAAAGCGAGCCATGCCCAACCATGCTAAGCCATCATCTCACCTGCAAAAGGAATGGGTGCATCTTTGTCCAGGGCTACCAGTGGTGGGTCCAAGATGACTGTGTCATTGTTCTCAGTAATGACTCCATGATACGAAGTCTCGATCCATGGCTTGTGCTTGTTGACTAGAAAACAATGGAAAAATAAAACAAAAAGATTGACTTTTAAGATCATCATTTGAATAACTAATCCATAATAATATTATCAATATTGTGTATTTACCCAATCATAGGCTCTCATCCAACCACCACATTAGGTACATAGAGCATATTAGTCCCTTTTTCACCCAAGAAAGCTTTAGAGAAGTGCAGAGAGGTTCAACAATTCACTCCAGGCACACAGAAAGTAAGGGCAGCGCCGAAACTCAAACACAATTCTTGGTTCTAGGATCATGGAACTTGTACCTTACCAAAAATCCCATCATTTCTATTTCTGGATGCCCAGTATAGATATTATCAAAATTTGATTAAAAGCTTTCATTCTCAAAAGCTACTATCTAGTCATAGATGTTTTAAAGTCCATTATCAATCAACAAACTAGCAAATTATGGCTGTGTACTGGGATTTCTGATCTCAGCCTAATCTGATCCACAATTAGGAGCTGTTACTGCATTTTATATACATACATGTATGTATAAATACCAATATAACTTCAAAGAGACAAAACAAACATTTGAATATTTCCTGACCATTTAAAGACTGCGTTATCTAAATGGTTTAAATCATCTAGCAATTTAAGTTACTCTTCAATAGTTTGATCAGCTGAATCATATAGTATCTAATGAATAATTAACACACTTAACATATATATCAAATATACATTACTGGTTCAAGTGCGGCCTCAAAAAACACAGATTGGTATCTTAACCTCCAGTTGATTGGATCATTTCCAGAGCAGACAGCAGCTCTGCCTACTGCAGGTCTAAAAGGGGCAGCAGATTCATCCATGCTCACATGTTGGTATTCAAACGGGTGCTTCATTATGGACCCTGAATAATTACAGCCACCCTGGGCTGCCCCCACACGCCTTTGCTCTTTTATTAGCCATCTACGCAAATGTAATGTAAATAATTTGCAGCTGTTGGGAGAAACAATTAATCTTTTTTTCCCTTTAATTAAACCTAGGGGCCTATTCATTAGAAATGTGTACAGAGGATATGCCAAGAGCTCACCCAGTGTTTCAGATTCATCACCACTTGGCTCAGTGGCAGATGATGGAATCCAGAGTCACAGTTGCTGGGTTTCAGCCATGGTTTAGCCACTGCAGGGCTGGTCCTGTGCAGATCAATTGGCCACTCAGACTTTTAACTCCCTCAAATGTAAAATGGGGAAGATGATACCACTCACAGAGTTGCCATGTCATTCAGATGGTCTTGACACCAGCCCCTGATGTTTTGTTACTCATTCTTACCACCCTGCTCTCTGGGCAGTGACAGTGAATGCAGAAGAGGTGGTTTACAAATGTTAAGCTGAGGTTCTCCCTCCTAGTAGGAATGGGTTTATTTCCTTCTATCTGTGGGCCTGCCTCTCTCTTCTCTCCATCACTAATACAGTTAGTTGAGTACCTATCACACATGAGACATTTTACATACATCATTAATCTTCACAATAACTTTAATAGATAAGACTTTGGATCTCATTTTGCAGGTAGGAACTGAGGTTCAGAAGGGTTTAAATGTTCTTCTTTTGGAAAATAAAAATGTTAACATCCCTAAAATTTTCTTATTTCTTTCCCACTTTCTAAATTCCTTCAGATTTATCTTGACTTTTACTTTGTCAAAGTCGATAAACATTTGCATTTTTACATGTAACCAAAATTAAATCTTTTTATTTTATTTTATTTTACTTTATGTACAGATCAAATCCTCACGGTTGCGAAACCAATAACTTAAATTTATATTACTTTGACTATGAGAATATCATTGATGCCTGAGCCAAGTATTACTCAAGGACTGATTATTTTTCCTTCTTAGTGGTCCAACAGTTATTCTAAGGACAACATTCTGTGTGTCCAGACCAAATGGATTATTAATTCTTTCACTCCATCAAATGGCTGAATCACAGTCCATTTTAACTTGCATCATATTTAAAACCAGACTCCTTTGTATATTTTTTGTTTTCTGAACTTCAAGATTATCTTTTTATTTCTATTGAGTTATAAGTTATAAAACACAGGACTTCTTACATCCCAAACATATTATAGCATTTTAATCATTCCATCTGTTATTCATTTCTCATTTTTAAAATGGAGATACTTACTTCATAGGAATGTTATAAAAATTCCATGAAATCATTTAGGCAAATCTAGTACCCCTGATACCAAGAGGCACTCAAATGCTCTTAAGTTCCTCTGGTCCATCTCTGAACGGCCTTGCACATTCACATGTATTTAGCCCAGCTTCATTCATTCGACAAATTTTAAAAACATAATAATTTTAAAAAAACGGAGTGCCTCAAATATGTAAAAACAGTTTTAAGCATGGGGGTGGGAGTAAAATGGTGAATGGGAGTCCCTAAAAAACCATTTGACAAAACTCAACATCCATTCATAATTAAAACTATCGGCAAATGAGGAACAGAATGAAATTCCTCTGATAACTTTTATAAAAACATGTGGCTAACATCATGCTTAATAGTTAAAGAGTGAATGCTCGCCTCCCAAGAGCAAGAAAAATACAAGGATGTTCATTCCTACCTCGTACCGTACTATTCACATTATCCTGAAGGTTCTAACTGGTGCGATAAGGTAAGAAAAAAATTGTACTGGAAATTAAAATCATTTTATTCTCAGAGAACATAATCATCAATGGAAGAAATTGTATGGAATCTACTAAAATGCTACTAGATCTAATAAGTAAATTTAGGAAGGCGACAGTATACAAAGTCAACATATAAAAATCAATTATATTTCTAAGCACTAGCAGTAAATAATTAGAAATTTAAATTTAAAAATACTAATATGATAGCATCAAAAAACATGAAACACTTAGAAATAACTTTCAAAAAGTACATGCAAGATCTGCACACTGAAAAACCCTAAGACATTGCTGAGAGAATTTAAAGAAGAGCTGGAGAAGTCTTAATGGAGTCTTCGTGATTTGGTAGGCTCAATACGGTTAAGACGTAAACTTTCCCCTAATTGATCTACAGAGTCAATGCAATCCAAATCAAAATAACAATGGTAAGCTACCTAATTTTAAGACTTATTGTAATGCTATCATAATCATGTGATATTGAGTACCTATCACAACTGAATCATGTGATATCCCAACTTCATGTGATATTGACATGAAGATAGACATACAGATGAATAGAAGGAATAAAGAGTACATAAATAGACACACATACATGCAGCTAATTAATTTCGGAAAAAGGTTCCAAGATAATTCAATGGAGGGAAAAGATGGTCTTTTCATTAAATACTGCTGGAAAAATTGAATATCTATGTGCAAAAAAAATTTCAATCGTACAGCACAACCACACACAGAAATTATCTCTAAAAGCATCTTGTTCCAAAATGTAGGAGTTAAAATTATAAGAACCTTTAAAAGAAAGCACAGAAAAAAAAATCTTAGTGTCCTTGCACTAGGCAAAGACTTAAAGGAAGGGACAAAAGAAGCATGAACCATAAAAAATAAAATTGATACATCGAACTTCATAAAAACTATAAACTTCTAAGTTTTGAAAAACACTCAAGAAAATATTTTTTTAAACCACAGATTGGGCGTAACTATTTCCAAAACATATCTTATAAAGGATTTGCATCCAAAACATATAAAAAAAACTCTTACAACTCAAGGATTTGTTGATTATCAAGTTATCGAGGATTTGTAAATTATAACCGCATTGGAGTATCACCAAACCACCTCTAGAATGGTTAAAATAACACTGGCCATACTTAGTTCTGATGAAGTGTGACAACTGAAACTCTCATGTATTTTTTAAAACTTTATTAAATTTACTGGGGTGATGTTGACTAATAAAATTATATAGGTTTCAAGCATACAATTCTATAACACATCATTTGTAGACTGCATTTTGTGTCCACCACCCAAAGTCAAATCTCCTTCCATCACCATATAATTGACCTCCTTTTTCCTTTTCTATCTCTCCCCACCTGCCTTTCACTCTGGTAAAATAAACTCAATAGTGTTGCCAGTGTCTGTGAGTTTTTGTTTGTCTTGACTTGTTGCTTTCAGTTTTATATCCCACATATGAGCAAAATCATATAGTTCTCAAGTTTATCTGTTTAACTTATTTCACTTAGCATGATATTCTGAAGAACCATCCATATTATGGTAAATGGCAATACTTTATCTTTTCTCATGGCTGAGTAATATTCCATTGTATGTATGTACCACATCCTCTCTATCTAATCATCTATCAAAAGATACTTCGGTTGTTTCTATGTCTTAGCCATTGTGAATAATGATACAATGAACACAGGGATACATATATCTTTATGAATAAATGTTTTCAAAATTGTCAGGTACCCAGAAGAGGGATTGCTGGGTCATGTGGTAATTCTATTCTTAGTTTTTTGAGGAAATTCCATATTGTTTTTCATTCCCACCAAAAGTGCATGAGGGTTTATTTTCTCCACAACCTCTCCAACACTTATTACTTGTTTTGTTTATAATAGCCATTCTAAGAGGTGTGAGGTGGTATTTCATTGTGGTTTTGATTTGCATTTCCCTAATAGCTAGTGAAGTTGAGCATTTGTTCAAATATCTGTTGACCATTTACATGTCTTTATGAGAGAAGTGTCTGTTCAGGTCCCCTACTCATTTTTTAAGTGGATTGCTTGTTTTTTGTTGTTGAGTTATATGAATTCTTTGGGTATTAACCCCTTATTGAAAGTGTTGTTTATAAATATCTTTTCCCATTCAGTTGTTTGCCTCTTTTGTTTTTTTAAGTGTTTCTTTTGCTGTGCAGAAGCTTTTCAGTTTGATATCATTCCATTCATTTATTTTTGCTTTTACTTTCCTTGTCTTAAGATCAAATTCATAAAACCTTCTCTAAGACTAAGGTCCAAAAATTCAGTACCTATGTTTTTTCTTCTATATATTTTATTGTTTGGGGTCTTATATTTAGGACTTTAATCCATTTTCAGTTAATTTTTGTGTATGGTAGCAAAAAGTAGGCTAGATTTATTCTTTTGCATGTGGCTTTCCAATTTCCCCAGCAACATTTATTGAAGAGGCTTTTTCTCCATTGTATGTTTTTGGCTCCTTTGTCAAAAATTATTTGCCTATCTATATGTAGTTTTATTTCTTGGCTCTCAATTCTGTTCCAATGGTCTGTTTACCCAAAGAAATATACCAATTTGATGCAATCCCCATTAAAACCCCAATGACATTTTTTAAAGATATAGGACAAAACAATTATTAGATTTGTGTGGAACCACAAAAGACTCTGAATAGCCAAAGCAATCCTGAGAAAAAAAAGAACAAAGCTGGAGGTATCACACTTTCTGACTTCAAATTATACTACAAAGTGACAATAATCAAAACAGCATGGTATTGGCAGAAAAACTGAAATTCTCATATATTGCTGGTGAAAATATAAAATAAGTCACTTTAGAAAACAGTTTAGCAATCACTTTGGAAAATAGTTTAGCAATTTCTTATAAAACGACTCAGCAATTCCATTCCTAGGATCTATCCAAGAGAACTGAGAACATAAATTACACAAAAGACTTGTATAAGTCTTTATGTAAATGTTCATAGAATCTTTATTCAGAATAGCACCAAACTGAAAACTAAAATGGCTATCAACCAATGAATAGATAAACGAATTGCCGTATAGCCTTATAATGGACACCTCCTCAGTAATAAAAAGAAATCAACTACTGATCCATTCAATGAAGGCAATAAATATCCAAAGTATTTCTTTAGTGAAATGAAGTAAAAGAAGTCAGACATAAAAGTCTACAAGCTGTTTGATGACATTCACATGGCATTCTAAAAAATGCGAAAGAATAAAGACAGATAATGGATCAGTAGTCACTAGGATTTGGGGGTGGGGTAGGGTTTGCTTGCAAAGGGG